AATCATAGACTACCAGGTTGGAAGGGACCACCTCTCGAGTCCAACCTCCTGAGGTAAAAGTATAGTTTAAATGAGGTAAGTCAGCACCCTGTATAATTACAAGCATATAGAATTTCAGAAGACGGAGTTTTATTGAAAGAAGCATGAACAACTGATATTGATTTTAAAATACTTTTTTCCACCATATTGCTCAAAACAGTAGTGCAGGTGGGATTTCCCCCCCCCCCCAAAATACAACTTCTAATAGAAGTTGAAGCAACATAGTTTACCAAAGAGTATTTTCTGCTTGGAATAAGTAAACACAAGGATAACTAACAGATCTAAGAGCATCTTCACTTGACTAAGAAAATCCATGTGATATGAAGACCATCTTCTGCTGCTGGAATGCTTTGTTCAGAATATCCTGGTTTAGGGCTCACACTGTTTATTTTATTTTCAGAGCCATGTGTATATAGGAGTCATTAACAGAACGGCTACTTTACTTCCAAAAAATGACTGAAACCATAGATACAGATAGTTTTTTAAAAGCCAACCTCCAAACTAACCCTTCTCTACACAGCTGATGTTCACCCAAAACTTTCTTGGGCTGTGGCCAGAGCCCAGCTTCAAAACTGCAAACGTTCAGCTCCTGCTCCCACACCAAAGGGGCTAGGAGCAAAAGCTGTTGCTGGGTCTCACCTTCCCTGTTTTTTCAGAACAAAGTGATCAATGCCTACCAACATGAAGTGCCAGCTCCTTGTCTCTGGTACTCTAACAAAACTGAAATTCATCCAGGGACACACACACAAAAACTGAAGCAAATTCAGAGAGGCATGACTCATTTGAAACATAAAACACCACTAATTACATGCTTTGTAGTATATAAACAACTTTCAAGCATATAAGTACTTTTAGCAATTTGCTTTAATAACTTCAAGGCAAAAAACCCACCAAAAATCCACTTACCTTTTGACTACCATGGGAAGTTTAATTAATTCCAATGTATCCATTTGTTCACAGATGTTTTAAATTTTAACTGATTTTTCTTCCAAGGTAGAAGCTGTACCATGAGAACATCAGATAATACTTTTCTCAAACCCAAGAAAAGTTACAGTTTGCATGAACAATACATGACTTGAATCTATTAATTCCCAGTTGTGTAAAGTTAGGAACTTTACTACTTACATAGGAAAGGCAGATAATGGTATTTTCATATTTATCTTTGAAAACTTGATTGAAGACTTACAATTTACAAGCTAATGAGGTTTGTTTGCTTTGTTTTATTAGAAAAAATACTCAGGCAAGGTCTACAATCATCTGTCAATTATAAATGACTTACAGAAACTCATGAAGCAATAAAATTAAAAAAATACAAATACAAACTATATCTGAAACACTTCTATTTGGCAATTTTATAACAAATTCAAAAAAGAAACAAAGATTACAGATTACTTTATAGGTACAGAAAAAGCAGTAGGTGAAGTGCTCAAGCAAAAAAAAAAAAAAAAACCCAAAAAACAAAACACTGCATTTTTCAAAAATAAAGTCACATCACTACAGATTTTATGAATAATACCCTTATTAAACAACCATTCCAGAACATCTTATATTATCGGTGCTTTTAATCTGCACTTCACTTTGTTTGATAAGATTTTTTGTGTATATAAGTAACATTTTTAACCCATTGGAGCTAAGCAAGACTCTTCTGTCAGTACCAATGCAGAATGCATTTGTATTATATTAGGATATGCTCACTTCTGCAACCAAAGGGTTACTTTAAGTTTATTCTATTTAATAAAAATTTAGTGTAAAAACTGCTGGTTATTAGTTTCACTGTAGTAAATTCCTCCCCAATAAGGAGGACTAACTCTGCAGTTTGACTGCTTATATCCATACAAATTTTACATATTAGCTCCTTCCAATAGTAAGGAAAAAACTAATTTCATGTTCACTATTAGAAAGGAGCGCCATGAATTAATTATGGGTACTATTCATCCCTCTAAGACTTCTGGGAAGGATGTTCAATGTATTTTTGTTCTTACAACAGTAGTATATAGTCCCTTAGGTATGTAAAAGAAGGGGGTTTTTATTGTTAAGGAAGGTGCTTTTTTTAAACAATTCTTCTGGCAGCACTAGTGAATTACAATATCCTTCAATATTATTTCTACCATAATATATACATTTTAACTTTCATGCCTCTAGAAAAACATCTACAGTACATTTCATAATATAAAAATATATTACAAATCTGCTGAAATATTTACAAGCAATGTCCTATTATCTATATGCAACATTTTTGTCTCCATACAAAGACTAACAGGTTAGACACATCTCTATTTGTCAGTTAAAAAAATCCATGGCTTCTTGCTTATTAAGCAAGAAAATGATTTTACTTTCCTTTTCAAAGCCAACTTTGGTGCATAAAGGATTGATTTTCTAGATTATTTTTTTAAAAAATACCATTTTCTTTACATCTAGAAAACATTAGGCCAAATAAAAAAGTATACTTTACAAGCAAATGGGGATCCTAAGGGTCAAAAAAGTAAAATAAAACACCAATAACACTAACTGCTTAAGCAGAGGTTTTTCAAAAACCGTCCATTGATACGGATCACATAAAAGCAGATCTCATTAATACACTATACTACTCCTGAAAAGGGGGTCAGACATACTGCAACACTCTTAACATCTTTAAACCGTACTATATGTATTCATAGTTGATTGGAAAAGACAAGCATTCCATCAACATTTGTTTAAACATTATAATCCAACATATTTTAGGGATCTGCAAAAGGACACGAGATTACAAATGACGAATGATTACTATCCACCATACTCAAAGGGCAACAGGATAATCCCTTGGTAGCTGTTTTATTGCCTGGCATGTGTTTATTTGGTTAACGTGGACAAGAAGCCTAATAGCTTGTTAACAGTTCTCCTGGGAATTGTGAGTAAATGGTGATGGTTACTTTTTCTTTTCAAATATAGACTACTGTATTCACTAAAGAAAAAAGCAGCTTAAAGAAGCAAGCATGCAAAGCCTTTTAGTTGTTCCACTAAGTTGCCAGAAGAGTGTTTGCTCAGTCTCCCACTGTACCATTCCATGAAAATGTGGATATACAGTAATATATTAATATATTCCACAGAAGCATCAACTTCATTCACAGAATGTTTACACTAAGCATAAATATTTATCTAAGAAAAAAAAAAAAAGAATGGGATTTGACTAATGTGCAACTTTATTTCTAAATCCATTGTCAGTGACTAAGACTGCAGGTGTCCCCACTTGCTTGGTTTTTACCTCTTCAACCTCTTCTGGGGCATTGTTCTGTAAAAGAAGACAGAATTTTATGTAAGTACCCTGAGATGTAAATTTGAGTCAGCTAGAGTATACTATGAAATCATGACTATATAAAAACTACTTTCATTTAATTTGATTAAAACTGAAAGGAATTTTAGATGATCCCATATTAGCATACGTTTCAGATAATTATTTCAAACTTTCTATTGCAATCATCATTTTAGAATGACATTAATAGCTGACACTGAATTCCCTTAACCACTTTTTTTCCCCTTGCAAAGTTTTGGTCTTCAACTTTATTTCTCTAATCTCCCGCAGTTGGTCCCAAAGCTCTTTTTAATCACACACTTATCTATATTGCTAAAAAAATCTAGTAAATCATCACGTGAAAGGACCTTAATTTTATTTGTGAGAGGCAGAAATAGTTGCTCATTTTTCTCCCAGGACTTAATCCCAACAATCATTACACTTTTATTTTAAAAGGTTATTTTTTTCCTTTTTAAGTCAAACTAATCTATCTGTTCTGCAAAGGTAATCAATATAAAGATGATTAACACCTAAAAAGTCACTGTGCTAAGCAGTTTTAAAAACACACAATCTGATTTCCTCAAAACATTGTTATGATTTGCTGTTAACTTCAGTAATTCATACATTAAAGTAAGTACTTTAAAATACTTACAAAGATAGCATATATATTATGATGATTTATTTTCATATTGTAAGCCAATTTTTCATTAATTTGATTAGTGAAATACACAATATTAAAGGTGAACTGAAAGGCTTATCACATATCAAGACGTAAGATTAGTGTTCTAGTTACCCCTTTAAACACTAAGTCACTGGATGTTAAGGAAGAAGTATAGGAACACTGAACTTTGGTTATAGCAGAAAAAACCTTTTTCTTCCCTCAACCCACTTCATGAATTTTTAATATAAGTCCATACATATGTATCTTTGGGTGTTCAAAAACTTGTGAATTAAGCATTTCAGATTACCTTTAAAAACTGTACACACGCAGAATTGTGGGTACTGACAATTATGTGACCACACTAATAAAGGGAAGGGGGCGGAAAATCAGGAAATTATTAGAAACAAGATGGATTAGAAGCCAATCTGAAGTCCTAAAAACACAAATGTGAATGCAGCTTAAAGACAAGTAACATGTACTGTCCCCTTCTGTCCCCCTCTAAAGAATCTTGTATTAAAAAATAACAGTACTTGTACACAAGTACAGATTTCAAGGTAATACTGCATGTATTACAGTTGAATATAAAATATGTAAAGATAAATTTGGACTTTAAAAAAATTGGTATACAAACCAGTATGTGATCTTAACAGAAGTGATCTTTCAGGATTCCACTGTATGTACCTCCTTTACTAGAATTTCTGTACACCAAGCACAAAAAAGTAAAATACACTTGGTAAATACACACATTACCCGTTTCTCAGTAACTAGAGTTCAGTTCAAGAAGTTAAGTAATTCTGAAACAACTTAAGACCTCAGAACTTAACTCCTGGACGCTGACAGGATCAAGTCTCCCTGGTCTGGTGTATAATGCATTAGCAATCCTGATTTTCCAACGTCTAAAAGTTAAGTGAGGCTTAAGACTATGTTTAAGTAGAGAAAGTTTCAAAACTGGGACATTACCTGTATATGTTTGGGTCCAGAAGCAAGGCAGTATCTTTTGGTAGTTTTGATAAATGAACTACTTTAGTTTTTAACTGATGTCGCTCACTTTCATTTACCCACACATCAGGCAGACTATGAATAAATAAATAAAATAAAAATATTCAAAAAAGATCAACTGTTTTTCTTACCATAGAATTATGCGGTAAACTAGTACATATGAAGTTTGGGGTTTTTTTAAATAATCTTCACATTTCACTCGTTAAAAAGCATCTTCACTGGCGTGAGGAAAAGACAGCCAATCTTAACACATTATACTTCAAAGTTTTTCAAGTTCTCAGTGTGAAAAGGATACTAAACAGAATTTAAATTATTCCAGAAGAATGCTAAACTAAACATACAGTGACAACATTCTCTATTTTAACAATCTAATGTGAAAATGGGTAGCAGGAAAAAATATTTGCTATCAGATATCTGAAAATACTTTATTTTACTGAGCATAAAATTCTTTGATGCTGTCAAAAATGTAAGTAAAGGCCTGAATATACCGCAGTTTCAAGTTACACTAATCTGCTTGCTCCAAGTTCAAAGCTTTCAATATCAGAATGCTCCAACTTCGCTGAAGTTAGCTGTTTGATTATCTTCTGAGGAAATCCAAGCAATCACCACAAAATATTCTGGCTGCGTAACAGTTCACATTGCAAGATGAAATTAAACCTGGTCTTCATACATTAAAGGAAATCGTTCCTTCAGTGCCACTTGCAGCGAAACTTGGGGAAGATGGCTGGAGATTACATACACAATTGATCTACGTTTGTATTTAAGTTTTTCTGAAACTAAGTAAGACTATACTTTAGAGTGGCTCATTGTATTATTGCTTCTTTTACTGAAAGCACATTGGGCTTTTAAGGCCCTGCTGAGGTTTTCAGGTAACACTTGATAAAAGAGGCACTGGCCTTGCAGAAGTCATGAGTGTCTTACTGAAAATCCACTTTCCTGCCTCCTTCCAAAAGCTAGCATTGACCAAGGCCGTACAGAACAAGTGGTCATTTTGCTTCCACTACTGGGAAAAGCAAAACAGAACAAAAACCCCAAAATCCCAACCACCAAAACCCCCTGAAATTATTTTCAGTCCATGTAAAGTGATACTTGCTTTTTTATTATTTTTAATGATTTTTTTTTGTCTAATACATGACCTAGGAGACAAAATTAATTTCAGGTTGGGTAAAAAAGGTATCAATTTGTAACTAAGAATTCTAACCTTTTTAAATTTCAAATTGAGAAACACAACATTTAAAACTACCTAAATGAAACAGTTCTTTCTCTGACTGAAGATATATGTAATTTTACAGATTTTTGCAAATAAACTGAATTGCTAACTTTTCAACAATTAAAGTTAGCTGTAACTCAAATTCATTTTTTTAGGTAAGCTATCCAAAAAAATGAAATGGAGAACTTCCATCCCAGTAGGAAAAGGAGTTTCTCCAATGACACTTTTCCCTTTCCATAAGAAGGTGGAACAACAACCGAAAAAAAGTGCAGGGGGGAGGGCAGAACCACCCACAAGGCAATCCACATATCTGAGGTTTAACATAGATCATTAAAGGTAAAGAAAAACCATAAAACTTCGTATGACTTTTTCAAAAATAAAGCCAAATTCTGGTTTTGATGAGCAACATTTGGAAGACTTTTTAGTAGAAGCTATCTGCTGAAGGTGCAAAATTACACAAACAGCAAGTAAGAAAATTTTCACATGTAAAGACTATTTGAAATATACATAGAGACAACAACTTAGTAAGCTAAGTAGTACTGGTGCAAAGAATAAATTCCTGCTCTAGAACAAATTTTTAAAAGCTATTACTATTTTGTATAGGAAATGGGTTAAACACTAGTATTTACTTTTCCTGAAAACATAATTAACGTACAGAGAATCTGTAGCAGTTTAACAGTTTCTCAAGATGAGTCAGAGTAGAAAAAGTTATATCATTATTACTAGCTCCATCTGAAAAGCCGATAAACAGCTCAGCGCAATGGAAAGTAATTATCATGACTGCATTCAACTTCTCTTAAGTGTGAGTACATTCACTGTGTAAGACAGATGGATGACATGAGCCACAATACCTTACATTTGCTGTTCCTAAATGTAATAATCAAGATGAAATTGAATCTACCAAATACTCAGTAATTCAAAACTACATCATTCACTGCAGGAAATACACCCTCCACCTAACCCAACCAAGATGCAATAAATACCAATATAAAACATCTTATTCCTTTCACCTGACCAACAAAGTAATATTCTATTGGGGATGTCTTAACATTACTGAATGATTGATTTTTGAATTGAATTTGCAGTCTGCAAGTGCTGCAAGGAACAGCAAAAGCTACAGACACTCTGAAATTGCACCAAAACACAAACATCGCTGTAAATAACTTATCAGCAACTCTAGTCCTCTGCAAATAAAAGTTGTAATAAATTCACATTGACAAGTTCACACCACTGCACATGACCAATTTGGACACTACAAAACAGAGTAATTTAAACCACTTCACCAAAGTAAAGGTAAACTTCTGCTATGTTAAGACTTTGCATCACCACTCAAACACTTAAAAGCCGCACTGAATCTAAAAGATTCCCTTGTTCTAAAAGTTAATGCTCTGTACAAACATTACTTCTTTATGAACTATGGCTACTCAATTTGAAACTCAGATATCCTTACCTAATGAATTCTACCAATTTACCTTCGTGGTAAAACTGAAGTTCCTTCTAAGAAAGAGCCTCTAAACTTGCATGTCATAATTATGCAGCTATTCATCTTAGCATGAACAAACGTCTCAGTAACTTCACCTGTATGCCAGACTATGGATCCAAGAAATAAATTATATTGCAATTACTCTTACCTTTATAAGGAAAAGTAGTTGATTGCCTTAAAGCTTGTGGAAAACATGGAGCATAGAGGTCCTGCCTCTCCTAAAACTACTCTGCCTACCACTCTCCTACAGCATAGTGGTAACTAAACACTCACTGTACTTCTCCATTTAATTAAGATCAAAATATTTACATAGAAATTCTTTTCTGTATCAGAAGAAAGAAATGAGATGTCAGCTATTTCAAGTAAGTAGCTAAATTACTTCTAAACTACGCTTACTACTTCACTAGTCCCAAGCCTACCTGAGGGTAGTACCTTTGTCCTGCATTACACACAAAGCTACTCATCTGGAACAAGGCAGAACTTTGAAAAACCAAGAGGAAAAAAGCAGCCATACATGCTGGAAGATTACTCCAAACTTCAGTGTCAGAATCCAAAGCAGCAGCAATAAGAGATTAATACCTCAAATCACTAGCTGTAGTTATTGTAGTGTTAAATTGTGACACCTCAGCAAAGATTCTTGTAGTTTTACATTTTTCAGTACTTAAAATATTTTAGGATCATGATGAATCAGTTGGTAAAATGAGGTTGCCTCAATAAGTTTCCTCATGTATATGGCTGGCAAAACCAACTTGAACTCTCCATTCAGCAATTAGAGGGTCTTAAGTTATTAACAGCCATAGAGACAAAATGTATCAAAAACACAGCTTCAAATTTACTTAAGCTAGTATCAGTCTAAAGACTTGAAAGCTAAAGTAAAAACTTATTAAAGCATTGCTTATTATTTTAACTTCTAAATTATTTTGAAAAGCATTTTTAAAACATGAACTTTAATTCAAATATTTAAGGACATAACATAGTTTAATGAGAGACAGTTCATTTACGCCCCAGTAAGTCCTTCCCCATTTAAATCCTATTTCATATCACTAGCAATATACTCACATGTCCTCTGGTGTCCAATGAAGCAAGAGTTTTATTTTTCCAGAATCTTCTTTTCTTTTAGCTATTACCTGATAATAATCACATAAATCATAATTAAAATCAAATCCACAGATTTTGTTGCTCAAGAACTGCTGTTCTGCATGTTCAACTGGACATTGATAAAAGGCAAACTCTTTTATTCTTTGAAAGTTGTATTAATTCCGTATATAGGTAGAACGTACCTATCACTACTCAAGTCACTCCTGGCAAAGTTTAATATTTTCCTTTAACAGGTCTACTAAGTGGTTCCCAAAAAAGAAGATACAAATTCATCCTGCAAGTAGCCTTCTTTCTTTTAAAATAGTTCAAATTTTAAGCAGCTACTCCAAAAGCTTTGAAGAACATACATTCCTCTAGAAACATGCTCATGTTGTTCCGCAAGTTGTCTACAGAAGATGTGAGAAACTGATGCAGCCTATAGTTTAATTGTAGCATGGCAGAAGAATAAAATCTTCTCTCACAAATGCTTTGACATCTGGACACATTGTATGTATAACTTCCTAGATAACCTGTACTCATTCCTTTTCAATACCTAAACTAAGCACTGGTAAAGGCAATGGCAAAGGCTACTTGGAAGAAGAGATTGTTTAAAGCATGCATAACCGAGACCCTTAACACTGTAGAGTACACTTGCTACTATTTTTATACGAACGACAAATCAAATGACATGTCGCAGACCTGCCAACAGATGAAGTTTAAGCAGAACATATGTACTCTACCGGTAAGGTCCCAGACAAGAAGAATGAACTCCTTTCTCATAGATTTACTGATTTGACACTAGTAATCAGAGCTTTACAACTGAAATGGAAGAAATCTAGCATGGCTGCAATAATGATGCTCTGAAGACTTAAAAATGTTTTTTAAATAACTTAAGTCGGTTTAAGTTTTTCATTTTAAAATGTAATTCATCCAGTAGATGTACTCAATACAGCTTTTAAAAAAAACCAAACAAACGAAAAGTAAACAAGTCCCACCCTTCCTACTATATTCTCTAAATTTCATACACTGTCTCAGAAACAAAAGGGAAATTAAATTTGAATTTATCTCTGTGAAAGAAACATGCTAAATTGTCTCAAATCAGAAATGGAGTTCTGCTGACCTCTTCTGGAAAAAGAAAAAAATTCACCTTATAAATTGGTATGCATCTTTACTCATGTATCGTGTTTTCAAAGTTTTAAGATTTCACAACACATAACTAGCATTAATACATGCGATCGCTGAACTGAAATACCTAAAAAAGCTTTAAAAAGTGACAACAGTTTAGTATTCAAGTATTTTAGAGAATTAATTCTAGCCATTTCAAAAAGTTGGGTGGGGGAAAGGGGAGAGCAAAGGACAGGGTAATCTATAAGCTGCACTTTTTAATCAGTGTAATATCGGCTCTTTAGGTTATATGGATATGCTTGACTTTTTCTATCTGATAGTTCAGAGAATCAAAGTACCAAGAATTTTACTCCAATAAAAAAATCTGAGCGGAAAAAAAACAAATCATCATGAAGTCAAAGGTAAACTCTGGATGGCAAAAAAAATTCAGCAAAAAGGCTTTATTGATGATTACACTCTACAGCTTTCCATATTTATAAAGAAAAAAATGTGTTTAAAAACATGTATATATGCACAAATGAAAGGACTGCCTTTTCATAGGAGATAAAAGGTATCTATAGTAACTGCTTAGAAATTCTGCACATTAGTATTTTTTCACTAGGATTTCTATCCTGTAAAATGCTGCATTGTGCTGACGTTATTTTTATGTTGCATAAAAAAAATAAAACTACATAGTTTATGTTAGTTTACAGATGGCAAGACAATTTTATCTTTGTCATTTCACCTTTCAAATTAATGCCCTTGATAAAATTATACATTTTTTTCTTCATCTGAAGGTGGACCACAAAAACTGTATTACGCTATTGAGCCAGTCACCATTCAAATTCAATGTCCTAATGTTTCTAAGTTATACAAAATGTGTTTGCATCTGAGGTGACCATTAGCTCAGTATAACAGTGTACATCTGCAAGACTGCTTCTATTTCACCTTTTCTTTCTAAAGCAGATTTTAGGCTGATTCTCATCAATGTAGCTGACATCCAGCATAAGTCCACACAACTGTAGCAGCACTCTGCAACAGGATGTGGCAAAGTGTAGCACAGGGCTGGAATCTTAGAACAGTTCTGCCACTGGTGCAACCTCTCCTACAACTGAGGTCTAACAATTTCAGATCTAATTAACCCCTTTCCATTTCGAGCAACACATGCATGAATAACGTGAAAGGCTTTTCACCACTTCCTCCAAGTTAATTCAAAGCAGTTTTGGAGAACATTCCTCCCTCTAATTCCATCTCCTTATGAATTATTGCAATAGCCAGAGGCGAGCTTCCACAACAGAGTAGTCTTGTCTGGATAACACTTCAGATTAAAGCAAGCTGTGAACTGGAAAAGAATCTGCTTTTCTCACAGCACTGTAAAGTCCATGTTGGCCAGGAAAGCTAGAATGAGATTTAAATACAGTAACAGCTAAGCCACCTGCAAATCTCCACTTGCAGCTGGTGCTCAATGCACATAAAGTTCAGGAGTAATCATCTGGGAAAATTTTCTAATACAGCCCACAGAGATTTATAACAATCATCAGTCTGGCAGAACAGGACAAAGTAAGTTTCATTCATATAAAATCATATTTTATTCATGGAAAGCGACAAACAGTTCAATAGTTTGAATCATTTTAAGGTTAAACCAAAGCTGAAGACAGCAGTCAGCATTCCTTCCTTGGACTGCAGTTTACCCTGCACTAGCCTGCCAATTTAGAATGCACTTCCCCCCGCCCTCCACCCCCCCTCCATTTTCTCCCACCTCTGAATTCTTTTCTTCAGCAGAGACTCTATCTTTTATGTTCCTGTATCTGCCAATTTGGTTAAGAAAACCTAAGGTTATATAGCTTTTTGAACGTCTGATCCCTATGCCTCAATTCAGTACTTTTTTCCTGTTTTGAACTTTTCTAAATTAATACTGATGTCTATCCTATCCATAAGCAAGTGAAATTAACAAAACAGAATATGGAAACAGGACTAAAGGCCAGTTCCCTACCTAGTACTTGCCTCCTCTTACCAGTTCACTGACATTTTGGTGGTAAGTTTATTAAAAGAAAAAAAAACTGGGGACAAGAATACTTTTAGTCAGGATTATGTTTTTGATCCAAAAGAAAGGAATAAACACAAGTTTCAGATGAGTATCTTTAAATACTTGCTGTTAGATATTTCCCCAAGTGTATCAGACAGGAAAAGATGGGAGCTATTAAAATTGTGAGCTAGAACAACTACCAACACTACTCTTAAAAAGTGCATTTACTAATATAAATGGACAAATCAACAACGTAAAATTCCCACTATCACCTATTTCTGATTAAATACCTACAGCAGTAAGGGGAAAACAGAAATATTTCTGAAGTATTAGATCTTTCAGACACATAGGTAAACAAACAGAATGCATAACATATATACTTACAGTACTATGAAATACGACACTGTGGCCTTTTCCTAAACTTTCTATATGTGCTGAGAGGTTAAAGCAGATGGCTCGATGTCTTATAGCATCCAGTGTTTGCGCATCAAAGAAGTCATGAGGTCTTGCTAAAAAAAAAAGACAAAGGAAAAGAAATCTTTAGTGCTCAGTGCATTGAAAGCATTCAAACACATTCAAGCGTGTAAATGAGTCTGAAGTGTCATAGTAAATAATTTATCACTATGGCAGTAGCACTACCTTGTCAAACAGTTGTAAACATTAATTTAGCTGAGAGGAAGGAATAACTCCAAGAGGGGCACAACCCATTTAAGTTTAGTCAAAACATACTCCTTCTAGATGAAACCAGTATTTTGACAAACAGAATTATACTCTCATTTTTTTAAGTTTCAAGTAAATACTCTTCCTTCTTAATCTTAAAAATTAAGAATTCATTAATTTTGCTCAGTACCTCTGGGAACATCCATTGCTATCATCTGAGAGTCCCAGTACAAAGCACCTAACCCCAAAACTCATTAATGAGTTCTAATCTGATGCAAAAACAGCCCAGCTATGTTGTGATGTTTATGGAAACTTAACTAGCCAAGTCATCCTTACACTACAGCCCAAAGTTCCAATATTGCTGCTGTGACTTTTAAAAAAATAGTATTAAAGTACTTTAAAACATGATAGTACGTACAATCAACATCTTAAAAGCAAAATTATATCCATAACTTCTTTCTTAGCTTTATTAAAAGGAATCTGCTCTGATCTAATTCATATTCACTAAAAAACCCTTCTATTTCCAGTGAATACTAGGATACTGCAAAGTGATCAACAGCGGCACTGAAAAGAAAACTGTCTGGTACCGCAGTGGAACACAAAGCAAAGGATTAACTAAGAGTTATTGTGAACATACAGGTAATACTCATCAAGATTTTTTTTATTTCCAAGAAGTAATAATGCTGAATAGTCATGTGAAAAACTCCTCACTGCTAGATACGTTTCTTTCTATGTAAAAGTTATCATACCATGTTCTTTGATTATTAGTAAATAATTTTCTAACCAAGAAGTTCCAACTTCATCACATACTACAATTCAATTTATCATAAGTAAAGTGTAATTAACATCTATCTGATATTTTACAAGCAGTCTAAAACCAGCATGCACTAATAAAGCCCTTTTCCTTTTAGAGAAGGACATTTATAGTTAAGTGTTTCTTGAACAGTAAAAAAATCATTGAATTCTGATTAGGAGTGTTAAAAACGGCCTATCAACTCTACACTAAAAGTACTTCAACTAAAAAAATAACTGCTATTAGGCACACATTTGCATACTGTTAGAAATATTTTGCACAATTTTTTAAAAATACACCATATAATACAGTAGTGAAATTAAATGAGCAAATACAGCATGACAGTATTCAGATTTTTCAAGCCTTATTTGAGAGCAGTAATTCTCTATATAACACATTGAAAATAAAGCTACAAATACGAGTTGATATTACATTATCTATACATCATCCTGTCATCTGCAAAAACAGTGATTCGAAGTCCTGCTGTCATCATTTAAAACAACTTCTATATTCCTTTTCACCAAGATAATCCATCCACTATTTCAAAACAAACTACAAATCCCACTTAAAACTAGTGTTTGCTACACTCCTGGAACTAATCGTAGTTAAGCATTCATCTGTACATTATGTTCCGTCCTTACTCTCTCAGTTGGATACTGCCAATTAGGCAATCAATTCACTGAAATGTTTTCTCGCTGTAAGTGCTAACGTAGAACCACAGCTCATGCTGCAGGTGGTCAGTGATTCAAGCATATAAATATTTTATAAATAAATATGGAGAAGGAAGGAAGGGAGGGTGGAAAGGAAAAGACAACCGCCTGGTTTTGCTTTTGGTTTCATAAAGCAAATTTCTCCAGGATTTACCACTGGATAACATTTAACAGATGCAGAAGAAAGGGCACAATTTGTCAAAGGCACATGAATAGTTGTATTTATTCCTTATTGAATGTTAATGCTGTATCTTCTGTGTATCTTCAATCTATTCCCTCAAAATTATTTTCAAGGTAAGGTATCTCCTGTCCTGCTTAAAACAAGATCCACGTACATACGGATTATTTAAGAAACAAAATGCCAGCAGCCTACTAAATGAAATTCCAAGTCTTACATAAGTCTTATTGTAAATTCCATTAACAGTAAGTTTCCTTATTTCACCAGTGAATGTCATTATCATGCTTGTTAGCAACTGTACTGTCATCTTTGCTACTGAAAAAGCAAGTGACAATATTGTAAATATAACCTTAGGTTTTGCTAATTTCTTTGAGGTAGCTTCAGAATAGCAATACTATGCCCTATTTTAAAGATGCACACTTTCCATATGTTTGGCTCTATGTTATACCTCTAAATGACAAGACTACATGCAGCCGTGAATGTGTTTAAGGCTATGCAGAAGAAAAAGCAAGCTACTGACTAATCCTGAATTATTCTGTAACATCAAGCTTTGTATGTCAAATCAGACAGACTCCATAGCACCACTAATGAAACCAGCTATAAGGGTGTAAAACATGCTTTCATCACAAAAATACTAACTTGCAAATGTGAAAGAACACAATGTTTACAGACATGAAAAAAGAAATGCAGAAAGACCTGACTAAATGACATAAATGACTATTTGTGAGTGATTTAAACAGATTGTACACTATCAAATAGCATCCTGCTTTGCACCCATTTGTCATAACTTCTTGTAACCCAACTTAGAGGGAACCTGGTATATATGTTCAACACCTCTGCATTTGAACATTTTTTAATGACTGAATATAAATCTACGTTCCCAGCTTTATATACTCTAGACGGAAGATACTTAATGCTGTTATTTTGTTACTTTGGCTTCTTAGATAAGGGTCCTTGCCTTGCCCCGCTTCTTGTAAAGGCAAAATACTGCCAAAAAACTTGCAAGCTTCGCTCTTTAACTAAAACCAAACTAAGAAACAGAAAAACAAGCAAAATTGTATATCAGCTCTTTGTCAAGTTCACTTAATCAACAAGAAGCCACACAAAGTTTTAAAGAAAAGCGACCAGTACTTGGCATTTTCAGAAAATGCCATCAACTTCAGATTCATTTCTGGGTCATGTACCCTCTGGAGAAATACATTACAGTAGTCAGTTCTCAACTCAGCTGGAGATTATTTTTGCCTTAAGGCAAAAGTCTACAGCCAGCATTGCAATTGTCGCAAGAGGCAAGACGATAAAAAACTGTTCAAGCAGCTGTAGTTTTTCTTCCTGTGCAACACTTGATCAAGACAGCAGACCACTGAAGTACTATAGTTTGGTCTTTAACATTCCCATATTTACTACTTAAGTTATTTGCCACAGATTCATTCAAGAATTTCACAGTGAACTCTTATTACAACTAGAACATCTTAGCAAATAATTGAAGTTTTAACTATGAAGCTCTGATTCGAAACTTTTAAGTCTAAACGTTCATCATTTACTAATAAAATGCCAACCTGAAAAATTACTTCTGCATATATATCCTCGGGGAAAAATTTAATTAAGATGCATTAAATCAAGCAGTCTAACAAAACCAATAAAGAGAAACAAGCCAAGATGCAACTCAGGAATCTCTGAAAGTTAAAATTTTCAAGTTGTAAGTCTTAGACATCTGCATTTTGTTTGATTAACGGAGACAACAAATAAAGGTAATACTTTAGGAACCTGCACCTATTTCAATGAAGTCTCTCGCTACATCTAAGATGAACTAAAAGGATACTGCAAAGTGACCATATAACCCTACATTGATCAGCCTTCTCTTCTTGAACATTCTCATTTACTAAGATTGCTAGAGTAGAAAGGAAAGCTCTTTGAAAGTCAATTTCTGAAAAAAACAAAAATAGCTTTCTACCTTCTTTGAATGTTGAATCAGTGTTTAAAGGCCAAAGAAAGACAATAAAAAATCATTTTACAAATA